TAATTTCTTTTTTAAGCATTTTGGGACCTCAACCATAGCGATGGGCTCCCAGGAGCTCCTAGGAACTCCCAGGAACTTTTGGAAGAGTGCGCTGTAGCACCGTCGCTGAGAAGCGCTGAATCACAGCATTTCTGGACTGGAGTGTGCTCGAGTTAGATGAGCTCACTATGCCACTAGGGACGCTGCTATAGAGGGCCACTGTGAGGGGATAAAAATGCGGGACAATAAACAGCCACTGACGGGCAACTCGTTAGTTACAGTAGCGACTTGCTTACGGTGGCCTAGATATTTCACTCACGACACTATGGTCCCAGTAGCCAGTAGAAGAGTTCGCGTCAGAATCGGGCCCGTCGCAGGTCGCAGCGTGGGATCGGGCTAATGCTATTCAGCCCTTTTAATCCTCCGAAGAACAAAGGAGGCGCTTGTCATACCACCGTACGGGCAGACTAGGGTATTCCACAGTTTTTTGAACAGTGACGAGCAGGAAGTACCAACATGTATTGGTGCCCCCCCCCTTTCCCCCATGCCATACAATAAGTGAAATGCCCTTCTACACTTTCGAAACAAACATGTCATGGATCAGAGTCCCTGTTCGCCACGGTCGCTGGGGCCTGGCAGAGCGGCTGGTTTTCGGCGTGATGCCAGGCCCTACCAACTGTGGAAGTTGTTAGACGACCACAATTGGTGGAAAACTGGCGGGCTTCGAACCAGTCCTAGTCCCCTAGACACGCCCTATCGTTTGTTTTGTGGAAATCTGTAAAATTTTGCGTGCTGAACGTAAAAGCAGAACCAGAAATCCTGGAAGTATTGCAATAATAAAACATGCCTGATTGTGCGCCTCCGTAATAATTGCCTGAATACAAAGGTGGGTTGTAACTTCCTGGGTTGCTCTGAAATTTAATCCTTCAGAATTCTGTAAGACGAAAAACAAACCACCAAACCGAATCTCAAACGATACTTAGGGATAAGTTGAACATAACTGGTTAAGAAGAAATTCGTTGAAGCAAGGTGATCCCTCAGTTCAAGACTCCTTCCTGTCCACGCGCTGAGCTGAATGGGTCCGCCGGCTTGCTACCGTTTATCCGCTCAAACCTGCACGGAACAGGGGCGGGGAGTGATTACCGGCCGTCAGTATTGTCGTGAACCATCTGGTCAGCTACTTGGCTCTGATTATAGAGGTTAAGCACGGTAGTTAGCGGTGTGAGAACAACAAGCAGTGAGACGATGCAGACGAATTCGCGGCGTTTGCGCCTATCGGTAAGGCCATGTGAACGGCGCCACAGCAGTGCAAGCCAATATGGAGTCAGCAGCAGGCTACCAGCCCGCCCGGCAGCCCCCTACCGCTTCGCAGCCCGAGGAAATGGCACAATATTGCATGCCCTGTCTTCTCACAAGCGGCAGGAGGATGATCCATGAAGTCGAATTGTACCGTTATCTTCAGAAATCCTAGACGGGACCACATACAGGTTTCCACTTGAAATCAGTAAAAGAGGTCCAAAAACTGTTAATCACGTACCTGTCGAATTTGTTGGTAATTAAGAGCATTCTGCTGATCGTTACTCAGAATGGCTGATTGCGCAGGAACAGCGTCGTATGCTTGGTATCCTGAAAAAATGCCTTTTTCGCCTTGTTCAGAAATCATTTTGTGCAGCTGAGACCACCGGTTCAAATTCCAGCACCAGAATGTTTTCTATTATGACCAATCAATTGTGGTGGTCCCACCAACAGGGAAAACTTTGGTGAGATGGTATTCGACTAAAATCTGCCGAACATTAGCAGGTGCCCTGTTGCCACAAAAGAGTTAAATGGCGAGGGGTTAGCCACTCCCTGCACATCTTTCATGACCAGCCACTAGCCGGAGCTCCCCAATCAGCCCAGCTATGCAACTTGTAGGGCGCTTACCACCAACTTGACCGCCAACTTGACCGCCTTGGCTGTACGCCATCTCTGCCTGAACGTAATTCTTGGCATAGCCTTCTGAAAGTGCATCGTTGAGATAAGCGTAGTTCGGGTTCAAGACAAGTCTCGCTGCATCAGATGATGACGAAGGTGAAGAGTTGTAATCGTAGCCATAAATATTATTTGTCGGGGTGTATCTGAAAAAGCAAACATTTGTTGGTAAGCAAATTTTACTCCCAAAAATCAGAAGGTATCACCCTGTCTGTCTCTTTCTCCTCTGAGTTCGTTCAGCATTCCAAGGCAGTAGCGCCGGAGAAGCCGCAGTTGAGGGTTGTTGGGTGGAGTTCGGTGCGGCTGAGATAAGAACAGCTACCTGCAAAATGTGTAGTACACCTCCCTAGTCAAAGTGACCAGACTGATTGGCCATATTGAATGACTTCTATCAGGATATGTAGCGACACCTTAACCCCCCTCCCCCTCACCTGTGTCTGTGCTCTGAGGAAGGTCTACCTTAAAAGATCGTTGGAGATCACCTAGTACGGAGTTCTACAAGCTGTGATTATCCTAGTGCAAACAAAAGCATTGTGAACCCACCACCTTTGGTTCTTTTGGCCGCCTTGTCTCTGCTGGGTCGGACAATGGCCGCGAGGAGAGCGTAGCATTCATAATCTTCAGTACATCGCAGTCCTCCATTATATTGCACAGCTAAAGGAAATATTCCTTTCTGATTGCAAAAAAAAACATCTTTATTACCAAATTTAAAGGCAGTTGGCACGATAATTTGGTGCTCGGCCTAAAATGCTAGCAGGGCGCTATATAGTGGGGAAAATGGCGAAAGAACGGAGTGAAACGGTCAAAATCCTGCGAAAGAAAAAGCCTTCGTTCTCAATGACTTAAAAATCAATTTCGGACGAGTTTCCCGTAGGCATCTTGCCAATAACCGCTACCGAAGATACGGCTGCATGTGTACTCATATATCCATGCAGCATCACGGCCGCTTCATACCAATCCCTTCGCTTCATAATTTGCTTAGCAAATGAATCAATACGAGCGTCAAAAGGTCGTCCATTTGTGGGCGGGCGGGCGTGGTGGGCGTTCAGGTCGGTATGTTGTAGCTTGATAGGGCCCTTATAAGGGTACCTTCCTTGGAAAGGGCGCTGCGCAGTGCCTTCTCAGGGACGCGGAATTCCGTCCTGCCAGGCGTATTAATCCTACTCGTCTTAGGGATTTACCGTGCCAACTGCCTCTAAAGGTACCTGCACGCTGTTCGAGTTAGACGAATTGACGTAGTAAGATCCGTCACCAATTTTCGTCGGTGTAGTGATGAACTGAAACTACCCTGATTTTGGAAAGAACTTATGAACCCCCTCAATCATAGTTTGAATGTATCAATCTCAAGAAAAATTCCAGTTGAACAGTAATAGAAGGTAGTGAGAAAAGTCGTATAGCCGGGCAACCAACGTTCCACGTTTGGCACGCGCTCAAATCGGACGAGTTTGTGACGAGCGGACGTGAGAACTCCGCGTGAATGCAGCGATTTCTGAAATGTTTCCAGCTTTACTAATAAAAAGTCTACTAAAGCCTGCTCATGACCTGAACAGTAGCAGTATTTCAACAGGAAACTGTAAAACTGTGGATTTAATACGTTCTGTATACAGCGTTGATTCGGATACGGTGGCCTACATACAACTAGAACTCAGTCCCTTCAATAGCGCTAACTTTCTGTTTTTCTCAGCGCTCTCACGTCTGCATGGCGCCTTGTGACCACTCTGGCCTTTCACGGCCCATCTTTACACGCAGAATAAGTGGCTCATCCACCCCGAAGTTCTCTCCTTTTGAAAAACTCATCTCTTGGCTCACGTCATATTTTTTGTACTTCTTGATGCTCTGGCAGTTGCGTCCTTTGTTCTCCTGCACTCTAGCATTTCGCAGCAGGATCACCAAAAGTTCTAGTTGTCACGTAACCTGGACGGTATCGTACCAAATCACAGCTCAAATACTCTTTTCCTCAGTTCTTTTCAACGCCTTCAGCTCGATCTCGACATTATACTTGTTGTTGAGCCCTTATGCATAAAACTGGGGGCAGGAAGTGTCATACGGGAGGGCTAGGGCCCACAAGCGGCTGCGTTCTCCACCAGTCTCCAGCAGCAGTTGCGAGACCGGCAGTGCCATTATGTGTAGAAAGGCAGCTGCCTGTGGTCTTCAGCCCTTCCCTCTGACGCGCCCCATCGCAATCACTTCAGTGCACGAGCTTACGGGGAGGAAACACTGAGTGCCCAGATGAGAGATTAGACCATGAAAAGAAGAGAGCAAGGGCAGAGAAGCGAACAAGGCGAGCGACACCGCCCCATCTGCCATTTCCCCATCTCCTCTCGTGTTCGTGTGGATAGTAGCATTCAATTGCACCGCGCGTTACGAAAGCGATGATCGAGATAATTTTTTGGAAGATCAAAATATAGCGAGAAAACGACAAAAATGCAACGACGACCAACCTGTATCGCTTAGTGAGCGTTATAAGCGAGCCATCTTCGCACTGTCGTGAACGGGAATCCATACGATGATTTGAAAGTTCGAACTGTAATTGGTGAATATTTGTGAATAGAAAAGCTTCTTAGAGACCTACAGCTGTTGGAAAAAAACTTGGAGCAAGCGACAAAATCACGTTTCAAACAGTTCTGAAGCTCTTATTCAACAGCAAAACAGTGGAAAGGTGAGCAGATAGCGGAATTCAACAAGAAAAACTATTCAGCGCTCTGAATTTGGTTTGCTTACTATTGGACTTGATTAGAGCCTTCATCATCCGTGGAATCTACTCCACAGGAGCTTCAGGGGTATCCACGGATATTCGACTCCAAAGTTCCTTGAAATTCATGGAGCTGCTCATTCCTAATAGTGACCTTCTTTCCTTTGAGCCTTGCTTCAAGTCGTCTCAAAGATGCCTGAAGGGGTTGAGCTGAAGGCTTTTACACGGATATTTTGTCACCCGGATGCTGGCCTTGGGTGCGGGAACCTAAATCTCACGTACTTTTCCTGTTTGCTTAGGGTCGTTTCCACTGATCTAAAATCAGCTCTTCCAGGCATAGTTGATCTATATTTACAATATTTCCGTACGCAAGTCAAGGAAAATAAAAAAAAACAGATTGATAGATAGTTCCGATTTCTTTTGGCTTGTTCCAAGATCTTTTCCGGAGCTCTAGGTAACCTCAGGTACTCTGTAATCAATTAACCATTTGCTAGGGGTTTTTGAAGTGTCACAGCAAAACAAGGAAGGATACGTAATAGTTTTCTGTACATTTGCTCACTCACCAAGCCAACGCCGTTGTTGTTGAGCTCCACGATAATCCGATCCAAGTTGATATCCTATAAAAGCTACTTCAAGTTCGAGTTAAGCTGCCTCCTCACACTGTTTACCTAGTACTTCAAAGCTGTTATTGTTTGATAACTGCTGTTTGACGCCGCACTGCGCAATCCGTAGGTTGTCACAAGAGTGCCGAGTTGTGGGCAAAAGCGAAAGATGCGGGTTCGTATCCCGCCTGTG